CTCATGTCAGCATTGCAGGGAGCCATGACTTTTGCTAGTTTTTCAGGGCTGTTCTTCAAATGTTAGTTCAAAAGCTTAGGTTTGTAGGCCTCCCTAGAGGACCAGCTTCTTGGGTGTTATTTTATGCTAATTAAGTTCAGAATTGCTAATATATAATCAAAATGCTATTCCTACGCTAGCCACAACCCAGTCTTCTGGGTCTTCACTCAGGGTAGCCAACCATCCCAGATTGTCTAGGATTGTCCTAGTGTTAGCACTGAAAGTTCTGTATCCAGAAACTCCCCTCAGTCTTGGGGAAACCCCTTATTCCCAGGGGATTATTGGTCACCCTGTTTTACTCTCCTGAGTCCCTTAGCAGCAGCATGGGAGGAGGGGAAATGCAATTTGTGCTCTGGACGCAGATGATAAACAGCCCTCAGCCCTGGCATAACAGTACAACACAGGATGCTCTTTCAGGGAGGAAGAACATTGCTACTTTTCAAGTGTGCCCAAATATTGCTGTTCTGATTATCTCTTGCTGCATAACATATTACTGTAAAATGACTGTAAAAGAGGCTTTAAAAACTTTATTCTCTACTGGTTTCTGTGGATCAGGGATTTGGTAAAGGTTCAGCTGGCAATTCTGGCTTCCTGAGTAAGATGGTGGCTACAGCTAGAACAGCTGGAGACTGTCATCACCTCTGTCTTCATGTCATCTCAGTGCCTCTCCAGGGCCTCCTCTCTCTGTATGATAGAGTTTAAGCTTTCTCACAGCATAATAGCCTCCAGGCAACTAAATGCCCACTTGGCACTTCAGAGTTCTAGAGCAAGCATTCCAACCAATAAGAAGCCGCCTTAAGTGTCACCTAGGATATGATTGCATAGTGCATTTCCATCATAGTCACAACATTCAAGGGGTGGGACATAGACTTCACTTCTTGATAACTGGAATATCAACATCACATTGTAAGAAAAGCATGTTGGGATGAAGAGATTATTTTACAATGTACAAGTCTTAAAATCCACCACAGTTATACCTTGGTTCCAAAGATTTGAAAAATGCAGTTTTTGACTGGGTGTGGTGGCTCCTGCTTGTAATCCCAGCACTTTGGGAGGCTGAGGAGAGCAGATCACTTGAGGCCAGGAGTTCAAGACCAGCTTGGACAACAGGACAAAATCTTGTCTCTATTAAAAATACAAAAATTACCCAGGCATGGTCACGCATGCCTGTAGTCCCAGCTACTCAAGAGGCTGAGGCAAAAAAATTGTTTGAATCTAAGAGATGAAGCTTGCAGTGAGCTGAGATCATGCTACTGCACTCCAGCCGGGGCAACAGAGCAATACTCTGTTTAAAAAAAAATGCACTTTTTCATTAATAAAAGTAGTGATGATGTTAAAATATGGTTTTCCCATGAATTTGGTTTTCCCATGAATTTTCATTAAGGCAATTTTCATTTTGAAGGCAAACAAAGTGTCAGCCTATAATTGTTTCTTGACTTGTCCTGAAATCTCTTGGTCACCATTCTTCTACTGAAGTGAATATCTCCCTGTCTGTCTGTCTATCTATCTATCTATCTATCTATCTATCTATCTATGTATATCTCTACAGTCATACCTTGGAGATATCGAGGGTTTGTTTCTAGGCTACTGCAATAAAACAGTATTGCAATAAAGTGAATTGCAGGAACTTTTTGGTTTCCCAGTACATCTAAAAGTTGTATTTCTACTGTACTGTAGTCATTAAGTATGCAATAGCATTGTGCCTAAAAAATCCTTAATTTAAAAAATACTTTATTGCTAAAATGCTAATAATCATCTGAACCTTCAGTGAGTGGTCATCTTTTTGCTGGTCTTGCCTTGATGTTGGTGGCTGCTGACTAATCAGGATGGTGGCTGCTAAAGGTTGGAGTGGCTGTGGCAGTTTCATAAGATAATATTGAATGTTGCTATATAGATTGGCCCTTCCTTTCACAAAAGATATTTATGGCAGATATAGCCTTAAAATGTATTTCTTAAATAAGAAGACTTGTAAATTGAAATTACTTCTTGATTCATGGGCTGCAGAATGAGAATGGATGTTGTGTTAGCAGGCAGGGAAACAACATTTATCTCCTTGTGCACCTCCATCAGAGCTCTTGGGTGACCAGGTGCATTGTCATGAGCGGTAATCTTTTGAAAATAATCTTTCTTCTAAGCAGTAGCTCTCAAAAGTAGGCTTAAAATATTTAGTAAACCATACTGTAAACAGATGTGCTGCCATCCACGAGCTTTGTTATTTCATTTATAGAGCACAGGCAGAGTAGATGTAGCATAATTTTTAAGGGCCCTAGGATTTTCAGATTGGTAAGTCAAGTCACCAGCTGCATTAGCCTCTAGCAAAAGAGTCAGTCTGTCCTTTGAAGCTTTGAAGCCAGGCATTGACTTCTTCTCTTTAGCTATGAAAGTCCTAGTTGGCATCTTCTGGTAGAAGGGTGTTTCATCTACAGTGAAAATCTATTGTTTAGTGTAGTCATCTTCATCAATGATCTTAATTAAGTCTTCTAGATAACTTGCTGCACCTTTTCCATCAGCACTTGCTGCTTTACCTTGCACTTTTATGTTACAGAGATGACTTATTTCTTGAAACCTCATGAGCCAACCTCTGCTAGCTTTCAGCTTTTCTTCTGCACCTTCCCCACCTCTCTCAACCTTCATAGAATTGAAGGGAATTAGGGCCTTGCTCTGGATTAGGCTTTGGCTTGAGGAAATGTTGTGGCTGTTTTGATCTTCTATCCAGATCACTCAAATGTTTCTCCATGTCAATAATAAAGCTATTTCGGCTTCTTCCTACTGTTCATTTGTTCACTGGAGTAGCACTTTTCATTTCCCTCAAGAATTTTCCCTTTGCAATCACAGCTCAGATAACTTTTTGGTATAAGAGGTCTAGGTTTTTGTCTGTTTTGGCTTTTCACATACCTTCCTTACTAAGCTCAACCATTTCTAGCTTTTGATTGAAAGTGAGAGATGTGTGACTCTTCCTTGTACCTGAGCACTTAGAGGCCATTGTAGGGTTATTAATTGACATAATTTCAATATTCTTGTTTCTCAGAGAATAGGGACACCTAAGAAGAAAGAGAGAGAGAGAGAGACAGAGAGACAGAGAGAGAGAGAGAGAGAGAGAGAGAAGAAAGAGAGGGTGAGGAACAGACTGTTGGTGGAGCAGTCAGAATGCAAATAGCATGTATAAATTTAGTTCAACCTCTTCTATGGGTGCAGTTTGTGGTGCCCTAAAACAATTACAGTAATGGTGTCAAAGATCACTGATCACATAATTAACATATGATCACTGATCATGTTATTAATGACAAATATAATTTTTAAAAGTTTGAAATATTACAAGAATTACCAAAATGTGATAGAGACACAAAGTGAGCACTGGTGTTGGAAAATTGAAGCCAGTAGGCTTGCTTCATGCAGGATTGCCAGAAACCATCACTCTTTAAAAAAGTGCAGTATTTGAGAAGCACAATAAAGGGGAACACAATAAAATGAGGTATGCCTCTATCTATGTAGACACACACACACAAACACACACCCTCTACATATATTTCTCTCATGGCCACACACACACACACACACACACACCCTCTACATGTATTCCTCTCATGGCCACACACACACACACACACACACACACACACCCTCTACATATATTCCTCTCATGGCCTCCAAAATCCAACTGACCAAGAAGATAGGTGTTACAAAACTACATTTGCCCTCTCAGTAAGAATTTGGGGTGTGTGTGTGTGTGTGTGTGTGTGTGTGTGTGTGTGTAGTGTATGTGTCTGTGTGCACATATGCACCCTGAGGGAATGGAAAGAAAGGAGTACTTGGGAGAAGAGAAGGACATTAGTGGCACAGGATGACTCGGGTTGAAAAGTTGAAAAGAGGCATCCATGGAAGGAAAGTACACTGAAATGTTGATGACCAGAGAGGAAACTAAAAGGGAGACAAGGGCAGTGGCAGCCATTTAGAAGCAAAGGCTGGACATAACTAGATCATCATTCTAGTTTGGTGATTTGGTTTAAAATGTGGACACTAATGTTCTGGCCCAACTCTCTTTCTCCCTTTCTCTCTTTCTCTCTTTATTTATTTATTTATTTTTAATTTTTTTAAAGATGGGGTTTCACTGTGATGGCCAGGCTGGTCTTGAACTTCTGACCTCAGGTGATCCACCCACCTCGGCCTCCCAAAGTGCTAGGATTACAGGCTTGAGCCACTGCACCTGGCTATGATCATGCCACTGCACTCCAGACTGTGCAACAGAGCAAGAACCTGTCTTTTTTTTTTTTTTTTTTTTTGAGACAGGTTCTTGCTCTGTTGCACAGTCTGGAGTGCAGTGGCATGATCATAGCTCATTGCAATCTCTGCCTCCCAGGCTCAAGGGATCCTCACACCTCAGCCTGCCAAGTAGTCAAAACTACAGGCACGTGCTGCCATGCCCAGCTAATTTTTGTATTTTTTGTAGAGATGGGTTTTGCTGTGTTGCGCAGGCTGGTCCCAAACTCCTAGGCTCACACAACCCACCTGTCTCAGCTTCCCAAAGTGCTGGAATTACAGGTGTGAGCTGCCACGTCCAGCTCCAGCTTTCTTATGCTGCCTCTCTCCCACTGTGGTGCTTAAGACTCATGAGTTATTCTTTCTGATAGCCTCTAGTTTCTCACTCCAGGGTATTAGAAATTGGGCTATTTGAAAAAAAACCCAAATGAAGTTATTTGGGGAATTTGATGACAGCACTTTTTGGGCAATGTTTCAGAAAACATGATGCAAATTTTAATTTTTTTAAACTGATATTTCAATGGCTTGATATATTTAATATGGCAACTTTTGTAATCTTGCATGAGTTCTATTGTTTTCTTGTTATCTCATATTATTTTTTTGAGGAAACATTTGAAAAATTAAAAAATGTATAGTATAAGGGAAGGATTGTAATTCTGAACCACTACTTGTTTAAAAAGATACTTTGTATGTTTGGATTGTAGGAATACTGTAATACAGTACAGTTAGATTCTGGGATAGATTACCGGAAAAGGGAACTTCCTGCTGCAGGAAAACTCTACTACCTGTAAGTTGTTTTAATTTTTAAAGTTTAATATCTAATCATTAATCCGAAAAAGATGATAAAAATAAGCAGTTTAATTATTGGAACTGCTGGTTCCTTCAGAAAGGCTGGTTCTGAAGCTTAAACTTCAAATGTTCTTATATTAACTTATTTAACCTGTAACTTTACCATCCATATTTACATCATTTATAATGTGTGATTGGATGAAACCCTAATTAGTTTTTTGGGGAAGAATGATGACAGATGGTTAGAATGTAATGAGTATCCTTTTATAAAGAGACTCTACTATTAAGAGAATATCTGTAATGTGTGAAGTAATTAATTATTTGTGGATATCATCTGACAAGTGTGCCATTTCCATTCCCCCAAAATTGTTGTTTTATTTTGTCAATCTGTTTGTATTTATCATTGATTGATTTCCATATATAACCGATATAAAATATATATCGGTTACAAATACAACTGAATATATTTTTGTCTTTTAAAAGCTAAGATGCTCCGAGTAGGAGCAATTTATAACAATGATGTATTCAGCACATGCAGCTAATACTGAAAAAACAAATATAGTTTGTTTTAAAATGTCCTTTGTGAGAACCTGAAAAGGAAAAAGGCTTTACAAAAGCAAACTGTTGTTTAGTATATGCCAGCAGTGTTGGGCACATAGCAAGTTCTCAGTAAATAGATCTGTCTTAGGACTAATTGTAATTTAACTAAAAGGCATGTTTCTGGTAATTCAAATTTTGATGACAACGTGCATTTTAGAGGTTGAGAAAAGCTCTTGTCTCCGCCACCTTGTAAGCAGAAGTACTTTACTGTTTTTGAAGCAGAAATTAGCTAGAAAAATCACAGAATTAAAGTTGCATACTTTACAGTGAACCAAGGGGGCTATTTTAGTTTATTATTCAGATCCTGATGATTATTATAAGAGGGTCTTCATCTGTCCTCAAGTACTTTGTCTTTAAAGTACTTCATAATTTAAAAAAAACCATATAGCACATTTTTCTGCTTTAACTTGGACTTTTTCTTCCTAGTTTCTTTTATGTTTACTGGTTATTTTATTTTTCTGATATTCACAGCCTTTCCCTGATTTTTTTACTACCTATGTCTTGATATTCCAGGTGTATGATACCACTACATTAATTTATTATTCTTCCCTTTATTTTTTAAAGGAGGTAATTCTTCTCTGTTTTTGTCAAAAAGTGTATTGTCATGGAAGAATAAAAATATTTTCCTATTGGGAAGCTCCTTAAATAAAGTTAGTAGTCTGAGTCTAAATTATGAAATTTGTTTCATAGTGCAGAAGAGGTCTCGAAAGTTACTGGAGGTGAAAAGGCTACTTTTGCTTGAAGCATAGCCATTTTCTGTCTCTGACTTACCCTGTGTTACCCCTTCCTTTTCCTGATAAAAGTAATAATAGTCTAACCCAGTGAAATCCAGTTTTGATCTTTAAAAATATTCTAGAGGAAAACCAACACTAACAATCTCCAGAGTCCAGGAAACCAGACCTATAAAGGACACCAGGAAACTCTGGACCAGCTTTCCTGAAAAATATATAAATTCAAAGGCCAGGCACAATGGCTCATGCCTGTAATCCAAGCACTTTAGGAGGCCAAGGTGGGAGGATCGCTTGAACCCAGGAGTGCGAAACCAGCCTGGGCAACCTAAGGAGACCCTGTCTCTACAAAACATTTAAAAAATAGTGGGTGTGGTGGCACTTGCCTCTAGTCTCAGCTTCTTGTGAGGCTGAGGTGGGAGGATCGCTTGAGCCTGGGAGGTAGGGGCTGCAGCAAGCCATAATCATACCACTGCACTTTAGCCTGGGTGACAGAGCAAGACCTGTCTTAAAAAAAAAAATATATATATATATATATATATATATATACACACACACACACATATATATAAATAAATATATTTATGTATAAAATATATACATATATAGATATAGATAGATGCCTATCTATCAATCTATCCATCCATGCATACATTTAATTCTCAAGGAAGATAAATTTGTTCCTGAATTTAACATCCAAAGGGCTTGACCATAGTCAAGAACAGAAAGTCTTGGGGGCACCCCACAGTCAGAGGAGAAGGCAGATACGTAAGTATCCTCGAGGAGAATTAGCAATTAAAATCATCTCAGAAGTGGGAAAATAATATGAGATACTAAGACAGGATGCTAGGGATGTGCATTATATTGTTTCAAATGAGGACTTGAGTAGAACTTCTTTCATGAAGATTTTCTGAGGTTATTTAACATTTGATTTAATTAAGTTTCTTTTTATCTTGTTCTTGTAGAAAAACTTATTAAATTTCCCCCATAATAGACTTTAATGTGCTGCACTATATATTGCCTTATTAAAGCATGTGTTTCTCTTTATTACCATCTGGCCAGACATCTGGAATTGATTCCTAAATATGCAAGTCCAGACTACCCTCCTTGTCAGTTTCACTGACAACTGCCCCATCTGCCTGAAAACAAACAAACAAACAAAACACAAAAAACAAAATTTTAGCTTCCTTCTAGGGGAACACTAAGCACTATCTCAGAATTTCATACAAGTAGAATGCCATATATGATATTTAATGAAACAGAAATATTAATATTCATCAATCAGTATTTTATTAGTCTAACTTCCCAAAGCCAATTACAAATATCTAAAATATAATCTAAATAATATCAAGAATTACCACAGATTTCTAAAACTACTCAAAAAGTTGACATGGAGCAATTTCTATGGTTCATAATATTGCCCGGGTCCCACAAAACTAATTCACATAAGACACTGCATGTTTGTATGTAATCTATATCACACTAAATTTAGATATCCTAGAGTACCTTCATAAGTAAGTTTCAGGTATGTTTTTGGCCCTGTAACAACCTCATATACAACAGACTCAGAGAATTTAAATTTAGCAAGCTATAAAACAGAGACCTTGAGTGCAAATATCCAAACTTTTGCTTAGATTCAAACACTACATCCTTGTCCAGTTTTTTATTCTGTGCTAAATGCATGATCATTCCAGAGATGAACACAGTTTGTTTCTTTTTTTCTTTTTCTTTTTCTTTTTTTGTTGGGGGGACAGAGTCTCACTCTGTCACTGGGGGCTGGAGTACAGTGATGTGATCTCGGGTCACTGCAACCTCTGCCTCCTAGGTTCAAGTGATTCTCCTGCCCCAGCCTCCTGAATAGCTGGGATTACAGGCATGCGCCACCACTCTCAGCTAATTTTGGTATTTTTAGTTGAGACTGGGTTTCGCCATGTTTGCCCATCTGGTCTCAAACTCCTGACCTCAGGTGATCCACCTGCCTCGACCTCCCAAAGTGCTGGGATTACAGGCATGAGCCACCACACCTGACCAGTTTGTTTCTTTTCTAGTTGCTTGGTAGATAGGACTCAATAAGATCCCCATGCTGAAATCCAAACAGATCAATCAAGCACTGGGCTCCCATTTGCTTCTGGATGGAGGCTTTGAATCTATTTTGAATCACCTGGTACTGATCAAGGGTGACCCCCATCTCATCATTACAGAGAATTAAAGTGCTTCAGATTAGCTGTCCGGGGGCTGGTAATAGTAGAGGTTATTATTTTATATATGCAATGAGCATATCTTTTCAAACAGGAAGCACCACTGCTAAAAGGTCCATAGCATGCTGCCCCAGGCCATTTTGCTGTCCCTATTGTGAAGGGTTAGTGGTTCCTACAACAGGCAGGAATTATTACAGGAAAAGAGCTCTGAGCTTGCGGAACCAGACATAAGGAAGTTGGCTTTTTGTCTCAAGGGAGACATTATCTTATTTTTCAAAGTTGCTCACTGCACGCACAACCTTGAGAAATGCCTAGGGCCTCGCATTCTTGGCATATTCAGCAAGATGTGAAGGAGAGACCCATGGAGGGGCTGTCTCTCCCAACGGGGGGCATTTACCAGACGTTAGACCTTAAAGAACCGGGCTTCCTCCCATTGTTGCAGCTGGCTTCTGTCCGCTAAAGTCATCTACCACTTGAACAAAACTACTTCTGAAGCACATTGTTCAGTTGTTTAAAACTTAAATTGTCTAAACACCATTTCAATTTCATGTGTATGGGGATTATGGATCATCCTGAAAATGGTGAAAATATAGTTTGTGGCTTTTTAGACACTGCCCAAATATTCACATATTTGTATTTGGCTGATGTAATGTATTCATCCATCTTTTGAACAGATTTCCAGAAAAAAGTTTTTTCTTAAATACTTTTACTAGTGGAAATTTTATGTCTCAAATACTCTTAGTTTTCCACTTGGGAAACATCTATTTCAAATAGAAAATCATTTTGGAGAATATAACTTTGAACGCCATTTTTTAAAACAGTAAGAATTAGCTGACAAAACGACACACAGCTTCAAGGTTATAGCTCTGTTTCAGAAGAAATGTCTGTGAAAACTAAGACTGAAGCTTACATTTGTTAAAACATACTTCCCCATAATTGAAAACTTCATGTTTCTTGTCTGTGATATTACTTACAAACACTCCTCTGCCCTCAACTGAGAGAATCAGATTAATGAAAATTAAAAACATTTCTTAGCTTGATTGTCACATCCTCCCAGACCTAAACTTTGGCTGAGACCCTCTTCTGTCTCTAAGGTTGCCACTTTCTGGATTAGTGGAGTGTCTAGGACAGCTTGGGACCTTCTCTCCATCACCAGTCATTACCATTACAAGTCTGTCCCATACATTGGGGAGTTATGCTTATTATTATTATTATTTTGTCTTTTTGTTTCTATAGTTTCAGTCTCAGTTTTTCTTACCAGTTAAACAGCTAGCCCAGTCATTTCCCATTTCAATTCCCACTGAAGAACCTCTGAAACATTCACCAGTAGAAGCCACTTGAAAATGGTTAAGCCTGGCTCCCTTCCTTTTAGGCTGTAATTTGTTTCAGTACCTTGTACCAGACTGCCCAGAGTTATGTAGCAGGCAGTATGCACACCCCACTGAAATAATTTATCTCTCCTCTACAACAAA